GTTCTAAGGTGACGTTTTGATTTTTGACTTTTTAAATATTTTAATTTTCAATTTCTCGGCTTTTCAACTTTTAGATTTCTCAGATTTGCCATTTTGTAAATTTTCGATATTTCGAATTTTCAGTTTGTCGTTTTTCAGTTTAGAATTTTTAGAAAATATTTATTCAACTTGTGATTTTCCAATTTTCAATTTTTCTTCTGGAAATTTCAGTTTTCCTATTTTTAATTTATCGTTTCTTCAATTTTTTCAGTTTTCAGTTTAAAATTTTTTTAGTTTCAATGTTAAATTTTTGAATTTACGATTTTTCATTTTTCGTTTTAATTTTTTCCATTTTTAATTTTTCGATTTTTTAACTTTTGAATTTTTTAGTTCTTCGATTTTTTATATTCTCGATTTTTGGTTTTTGGATTTTCCAGATTTTTTTATTCATTTTTACGCTTCTGGAATTTATAAATTTTATGGAAAAATGTGAGAATATGCTCATCTTTATAACAATAAAATAATGATACGGTAATAACCCAATGGATTTTTTTCGGGAAAATGTTTTGGAAACACTGTATTCTATTTTGTATGGATTTTTAAATGTTTTTAGTGACAGTTTTTGTATGATATTAACAGTGAGAAAAAAAGAAAATAATCGAAAATTAGAAAAATAGAGAAATCTAATAATAGAAAAATTGAAACCTTAAAAAATCGTAAAACCGAAACATTGAAAAATCGAAATATCGAAGAACTGAGAATCGAGAAATGGAACATCAGAACATCGAAAAAATGTTAAATTCAAAAATTTAAATCGAAACCCCCACATATAAAAAATCGGATAACTGAAAAATCGAAACACCCAAAGACTGGAAAATCGAAAAACCGAGAAATCGAAAAATCAAAAGATCAAGAAATCGTGGAGTCGAAAAGTCGAACAATTGAGAAACCGAAATAGGTCAAAATCGAAAAATCGAAAAGTTAAAAATTGAACAATTTATAAATTGAGAAATTGAGAATCAAAATTTCGAAAAATTCAAATATCGATAAATCGAGAAATCAAAAAACTTAAAAAATTGAAAAATTTAAAAATTGAGAGATTGAAAGATCAAAAGAACGAGAAATCGAAAAGTGATGAAGTCGAAAAATCGAAAAATAGAGAAATCAACAAACAAAAAGGTGAAAGTTGAAAAATTGGAAAAGCGGAAAAATCAAAAAACGAAAAAAATGGAAAATTGGAAAAACTGAGAAACCGAAATAGGCCAAAATAAAAAATTGAAAAACTGATAAATCGAAAACCTGAACAACCAAATCTCGATAAATCGGGAATGAAAAATTAACAAATCGAAAAATTAAAAAACAGAACATCTAAAACCAGGAAGTCGAAAAATCGAAAGATTAAGAAATATCGAAAAATTAAAAATACAAATATTGAAAAATCGAAAAAGTAAAAAGGTAGACACATCGAAAAATCCAGAAGTCAAAAATAGAAAAGCCGAAGACTTGAAATATTGAAAAATCCTAAAACTGAAATATCTAAAAACTGAAAAATCGAAAAATCAAAAAAATGAAGTCGAAAAATAGAAATCTTAAAAAATCGAAAAATTGAAAAATCAAAAATCTGAAAAATTAAAAAATTAAAGAATTGAAGAAGAGGAAAATCGAAACACTCGAAGGTCAAGAAATGGGAAAATCAAAACATCGATTAATTGAAAAATCGAAAAATTGAGAGTTTGTAAAAGTCAAATTTGAAAAATTCAAAAATCGAAAATTTGACAAAATGACAATTGAAAAACAGAAAATCTAAAACCGGGAAGTCGAAAAATCAAAAGATTGAGAAATCGAAACACTTCAAAAATTCGAAAACTTGAAAAATCGAAATATCGAAGAACTGAAATGAAAAATCGAGAAATCGAAAAATCTAAAATTTTAAGTATTAAAAATTTAAAATACCAAAAAACTGAAAAATCTAAAATTTAAAAATCGAAGATTTGAAAAACGACAATTGAAAAACAGAAAATCTAAAACCGGGAAGTCGAAAAATCGAAATATTAAGAAATCGAAACGTTTGAAAAATTGAAATATGGAAGAGCTGAAATGACAAATCGAGAAATCGAAAAATCAAAAATTTTAAATATTGAAAAATTAAAATACCAAAAAATTGAGAAATCTAAAATTTAAAAATCGTAAAAGTAAAAAGTCGACTCATTGAAAAATCCAGAAGTCAAAAATGGAAAAGTCGAAGATCAGAAATATTGAAAAATTCCAAAACTGAAATTTCTAAAAACTGAAAAATCGAAAAATCAAAAAAGTGAAGTCGAAAAATAGAAATCTTAAAAAATCGAAAAATTGAAAAATCAAAAACCTGAAAAATTAAAAAATTAAAGAATTGAAGAAGAGGAAAATCGAAACACTCCAAGGTCAAGAAATGGGAAAATCAAAACATCGATTAATTGAAAAATCGAAAAATTGAGAGTTTGTAAAAGTCAAATTTGAAAAATTCAAAAATCGAAAATTTGACAAAATGACAATTGAAAAACAGAAAATCTAAAACCGGGAAGTCGAAAAATCAAAAGATTGAGAAATCGAAACACTTCAAAAATTCGAAAACTTGAAAAATCGAAATATCGAAGAACTGAAATGAAAAATCGAGAAATCGAAAAATCTAAAATTTTAAGTATTAAAAATTTAAAATATCAAAAAACTGAAAAATCTAAAATTTAAAAATCGAAGATTTGAAAAACGACAATTGAAAAACAGAAAATCTAAAACCGGGAAGTCGAAAAATCGAAATATTAAGAAATCGAAACGTTTGAAAAATTGAAATATGGAAGAGCTGAAATGACAAATCGAGAAATCGAAAAATCAAAAATTTTAAATATTGAAAAATTAAAATACCAAAAAATTAAGAAATCTAAAATTTTAAAATCGTAAAAGTAAAAAGTCGACTCATTGAAAAATCCAGAAGTCAAAAATGGAAAAGTCGAAGATCAGAAATATTGAAAAATTCCAAAACTGAAATTTCTAAAAACTGAAAAATCGAAAAATCAAAAAAGTGAAGTCGAAAAATAGAAATCTTAAAAAATCGAAAAATTGAAAAATCAAAAACCTGAAAAATTAAAAAATTAAAGAATTGAAGAAGAGGAAAATCGAAACACTCCAAGGTCAAGAAATGGGAAAATCAAAACATCCATTAATTGAAAAATCGAAAAATTGAGAGTTTGTAAAAGTCAAATTTGAAAAATTAAAAAACCAAAAATTTGACAAAATGACAATTAAAAAAACAGAAAATCTAAAACCGGGAAGTCAAAAAATCAAGATTGAGAAATCGAAACACTTGAAAAATTCGAAAACTTGAAAAATCGAAATATCGAAGAACTGAAATGAAAAATCGAGAAATCGAAAAATCAAAAATTTTAAATATTGAAAAATTAAAATATCAAAAAACTGAAAAATCTAAAATTTAAAAATCGAAGAATTGAAAAACGACAACTGAAAAACAGAAAATCTAAAGATTAAGAAATCGAAACGTTTGAAAAATTGAAATATGGAAGAGCTGAAATTAAAAATCGAGAAATCGAAAAATCAAAAATTTTAAATATTGAAAAATTAAAATACCAAAAAATTGAGAAATCTAAAATTTAAAAATCGAAAAAGTAAAAAGTCGACACATCGAAAAATCCAGAAGTCAAAAATGGAAAAGTCGAAGAACAGAAATATTGAAAAATACCAAAACTGAAATATCTAAAAACTGAAAAATCGAAAAATCAAAAAAGTGAAGTCGAAAAATAGAAATCTTAAAAAATCTAAAAATTGAAAAATCAAAAATCTGAAAAATTAAAAAATTAAAGAATTGAAGAAGAGGAAAATCGAAACACTCGAAGGTCAAGAAATGGGAAAATCAAAACATCGATTAATTGAAAAATCGAAAAATTGAGAGTTTGTAAAAGTCAAATTTGAAAAATTCAAAAATCGAAAATTTGACAAAATGACAATTGAAAAACAGAAAATCTAAAACCGGGAAGTCGAAAAATCAAAAGATTGAGAAATCGAAACACTTCAAAAATTCGAAAGCTTGAAAAATCGAAATATCGAAGAACTGAAATGAAAAATCGAGAAATTGAAAAATCTAAAATTTAAAAATCGAAGATTTGAAAAACGACAATTGAAAAACAGAAAATCTAAAACTGGGAAGTCGAAAAATCGAAAGATTAAGAAATCGAAACGTTTGAAAAATTGAAATATGGAAGAGCTGAAATGACAAATCGAGAAATCGAAAAATCAAAAATTTTAAAAATTGAAAAATTAAAATACCAAAAAATTGAGAAATCTAAAACTTAAAAATCGAAAAAGTAAAAAGTCGACACATTGAAAAATCCAGAAGTCAAAAATGGAAAAGTCGAAGAACAGAAATATTGAAAAATCCCAAAACTGAAATGTCCAAAAACTGAGAAATTAAAAAATTGAAAAATTGAGAAATCGAAAAATCAGAAAATTGAATAATAAATAGGAGTAAACTGAAAAATCCCCAAACTAAAATTTCGAAAAACTGAGAATTCGAAAGCCGAAACAGCAAGAAATTATGGTCGACACCGGTTAGGATGTGTATCAATTCACGGATCATGGCTTATAAATCAAATCGTTTCCGAACGCTTAGAGTCGACAATCGCCTGAGTGCGCTCTGGTCTGTAGATCAAACAAGTTCTCAGACGGCGAACTGTGATTCGTGTGACCTGAATTAAAGTGAAGGAAACAGTAAGCACCTTATAATATTCTGGTAAATCTAGTGTCAATTTGTCGAAAGTAAAACGCGTCGTTAAAAATATTATGACACTTTTTCTAGTTAATTTTATTCCTAGTTAGAAACAAACACTGTTGCCAACATAAGTCGAGGAGTCCTCAACCGTCATTTAATTTAAACTATGACGCTTCTCTACGTTCTCTGGCATCAGCGACCGAAGTCCTGTCTAAACTCTTTAGACCAATTTTTTAAGTTGTAATAATAGAAATAATGGCAATACCGTTTTCGAAGAGCAAAAACTGTCTTCGGATTGGCGAATATGTGACAGACTATTGCTTCTTTCTTCACGCTTTTTTCGTTTTCTTTGTTCTATTTTACGTTGTAAGTCTTTTATGTTTTCCTTCCACTTTCTGATTTCTTCGTCGGAACTGGAGTCCATGTCTGCTGAAAACAATATTGTCAAAATTATACTATAACTTAAATTTAAATCAAAAACGTTAACATCTTATTTCATTTTTTAATTTTATATTCATAAAAAGTAGTTAAATGAATTTATATAAATTTATAAAGATAGACAAAGCTGCCTCGTCCCTGAAACACAATCAAACAATTCCAGTTTATCAGAAAAATTATTTTTTTTTTTATAAACCCTATCAATTAAAATAAAGATATGTGCGGATTGGTAAACTGCAGGTAAACAAGTGAGTTTCCGATAACAAAATTTTGTGATAAGGTATTCTACTTTTTAGCAAGGACACATGTAATATCAATTTATATGCATGAAATACAATACTAATAATAACCGTTCGTGCTTTAATCAATAAAATAAACTGATTCATTCATTATTTTTTGAGTCAGCGTTCGTACAAGGAATTATAAAAGATATGATATGGTTTAATGTTTGTATTTTTTTACAGATATTAGGAGATAATTTCCTAAACAACTGGCTTGTTACCACAAATAAATTAAATTAAATCAGTTATTTTCAACTTGCCCGTCACGAGGTTAACCTTTCTTCTTGTTACAGTTGCAGTTTTATTTTATAATTATCACTATGAACTTGTTACTCAGTAGAACTAATACATCTCTAATGATTTAATCCCTTAAATACGATATTCTAAAGGTTGGATCAAACATATCTTTTGATAATCTAGTTTTATCAAGACCTGCAAGATATGCAAGTCCGAAAAAATGCACGATTATCCGAACATCCACTAATCCTAACAGAGGCTAGTTGAAGTTGATATCTCTCTAATCCGAACAAAACTCTGCAATCCGAACTGAACCTACTTGCAAAAATGACGCAAGATCTTTCTGTACGTGTTGCATTGAATTTTTAGAAATTTTTCAAAATTACGATATTTCAGTGCATTGGATTAATTAACTAATTCTGGAAAAAAGGTTGAAGTTTTCGAATTAATGAGGCCGAAAGTGACTTCTGCGACCCTTTAAAAAAATAAAAGGCGGGCGGGCCAGGCTAGTATTTGCCAAAATAAGAGTCATTTTGGCAAATGACCTACTCATCTAAGAAAAAGAACTAGGCCCGGCCGCCCACCCACCCTTTATTTTCTTGGAAGAGTGGGTCATCTGCCAAAATCAGTCTTATTTTAACAAGCACTAGTCCCACCCACCCACCCTTATTTTCTTAGAGGATATGTCATTTGCAACAATCAGTCTCACATTTACCAAGATAAGACTGATTTTTTTGGCAGATGACTTATTCTTTATTTTCTTAAGACGTAGGTTATTTGGCAAGTGTTAGCCCCACCCACCCGCCCTTAGTTTTCTTAGATCATTTGCCAAAATCAGTCTTATCGTAGCGGTACTACTAGATTTTTCAATTTTTCTATTTTCCAACTTTCGAATTTTTCAATTTCTCGTTTTTTAAATTTTCAATTTTTTTATCTGTCTTTCGATTTTTGATTTCTTTGGACAACTGAAAAAAACTTTCGAGTTTTTAATTTTACAATTCTCACAGTTTTCCGATTTTTCAATTATTTGATTTTTAAAAACATCGAGAAAATAGATGTTTATTTTTTTAAATTTTCAATTTTTGGATTTTTCGATTTTTCAAAATTTCAGTTCGAATAAATTTGTTCTTTTAGTAAAACATCGAAAAATGACAAATCGTGAAAAGGAAAAATTTTGACTTGAGAACTTGAAAAATTAAAAATTAAAAAAAACCAAAATTGTAAAGATAAAATTTGAAAAATCAAAAGACTGAAATTAAAAACGGCAAAATTGTCAAAAATTATCAAATGAAATATTCAAAAGTTCAAAAATCTATAAAATAAAAAATTAATTTCAAATTTTGAAAATATCTAAAAATTTCTCACTTTTTATTTTTAAGATTTTGAAAGAATGGTAGAAAATTTCGAACAGATAAACTTCTGGAAGTCTAAACAAAACAATTTTTTTTTTGGTAATTTTTGATGATGTTCGGGAGAAGGTCAAAAATTGTACACAATGGGAATGTTGAAAATTTGAGTTTCTGGTGAAATTAATAAAAAAATTTGGTTTCCAAAAATTATTGAAAAAAAAAGTGATTGCTCACGATTGAAACGTCCATCATATAAAATAATCCAAAGTCGATATGACGATTGATTTTGGACATATTGGGATTTGATGTAAAATTTTTAAAATGACTCAAAATTTGGCACTTTTTATTTTGACGATTCTGGAAAAAAGGTTGGAAAATTCGAAATAATGAAGTCAATAGTACATTTATTAAAGAAAATAACTCAAAGTCAATATTGTGCTGATTTTCGAAATATTAGGATTTAAATTCAAATTTTTAAAACACCTAAAAATGTCTCACTTTTCATTTTGACGATTTTGAAATAATGGTAGAAAATTTCGCACAGATAAACTTCTGGAGGTCTAAACAAAACAATTTTTTTTTTTTGGTAATTTTCGTGATGCTCGGGAGAAGGTAAAAAATTTCATAGTTGTCTAAAAAGAAATAAAAAATTCTGAAAAATAAATTTCGACAAGTTGAATATAAATACACAATAGTAGTGGCATTTTTGTTAAGGAGTTATTTAGGGACAACTCTGGAAAAAATAGGTGGCCAAAGATTATAAAAAAAATGATGGTTATGTAGGAATAATATTTCTATCAGAGAAAATAATCCGAAATCGATATGGTGGTCGATTTTTCGAAATATTGTGATTTAAAGTGAAATTTTCTAATTTTTTCTATTTGAGAAAATAATCCAAAATCGGTATGGCGATCGTTTTTTGAAATATTGCTATTTAAAGTAAAGTTTTTAAAATGTTTCAAAATTTGTGACTTTTCATTTTGATGATTCTGGAAATATGGTAGAAAATTTAGAAGGAATTAAGTTATAACAAACTTCTAGAGGTCTAAGTACACAAAACAATTTTTTGTAGTATCTTTCGATGATGATGGAGAGAAGATAAAAAATTTCCTACAGGGGAGTATTGCAAAATTGAACCTTTGGACAAGTTGTCTAAAAACCAACAAAAAAATCTGGGAAATAAATTTCGATAAATTTCCGAGTTTTAAAACACAGTATAGCCTCCATAATCCGAACCCACGATTGTCCCTACAGAGGCTAGTTGAAGTCGATATCTCTTTAATTCGAACTGAACTTGAAAACATGCACCTACTTTTTGAAATTTTTAAAAATTGTGATATTTCAATGCACTGAATTAATTATTCAATTCTGGAAAAAAGGTTAAAGTTATCCAAGAAATGGAGCCGGAAGTGACTTCTGCGCCCCAAAATCTACAAGGATTATTTTTTAAATTCCGAAAATCGTCGAAAATGGGTCGAAATTTGATAGTACTTGCCAAATAACCTACCCTCTAAGAAAATAAAAGGCGGGTGGGCCAGGCTAGTATTTGCCAAAATAAGACTCATTTTGGCAAATGACCTACTATTTTAAGAAAAGTTACTAGCTCTGCCCACCTATTATTTTCATCTGCCAAAATCAGTCTTATCTTGACAAGTCTAGCCCCGCCCACCCACCCTTATTTTCTTAGAGGATCTGTCATTTGCAAAAATCAGTCTCATACTTGCCAAGATAAGACTGATTTTGGCAGATGACCTACTCTTCTAAAAAAATAAAGGGTGGGTGGGCGGGGCTAGTACCTTTTCTTAGAAGAAATTTCTTATCTCGCTCCACTTGTATAAAATATATCAAAACTTACATCCACTTGCATCTAAAGATGTTTTTTTTACTTTAATTGAATGTACTTTTGTATTTATTTCCGTCACACAATTTCGTTCCACACCTGTTTTATATTTTCATATTTAACTGATCAATCATATTTTTATTTTATCCAGATCAGTAGCTGACCTGGATAAGATCCTTACTGTCTTGGATTACCCGATTTCTTAAAATCGAAACTGAATTATCTCTCGCTTTTCAGTTAATACAAGCAAATATTGACTTGATTTAAAATAGCGCTAAAACTGTGGTAATCAGTGCTTTCATAGAAACTCTTATCTTAACAAAGCATAATCCTTACTTAGAGATTTATTGGCGTCTTAATCCACAAGAAATATCGATGTCTTCTAGAAAACAAGTTACAAATTATTTTTCTGTCAAGTATCTATCCAAACTTGTCTAGATCTAGCGAAGGCTCAGCATCAGGAGTTACGAAATATCAAAAAAATATGAAAGCACCAAATTGTCCGATGTACTCCATTACGTTATCCTCGATAAGAAAAACAACTTGAAATTGTTTATGTTTATACATCGGAAGAATGTCACGTAGAAATTAGTTTGATCTGAATGAATTCGTCCCCTCAAAACAGAGGATCAAAATAGTTAACTAATAAGCTACAATAGACAGAATGTTCTGAATATCATCATTATAATTCTTATTAAATAAAGACGTTCGTATTTTCACATTTTCGGAAAAATAGGACGACTCGTTCTTAATTTGATCAATAAAAAATATGAATGCTATGATGAATCACAAGTAAACACTTTTATAATATTGTTTTATAATTTTGATTTTTTTTCCAAAAATCTGGACGTTTCTGTTATTTTATACAATTTTATACAACTCAATCTCACTAACGAAATCTCAGTAAAGCTAAAATCAGTTGACTTTTCATAGCCGGGGATTTCCCCTATGGCGATATCAGGACCCAGTTCGACGAAACGATAACAATACAATAAACAACTATTTTCCTTATGATAAGACCCCAATGACTAAATCCAGCGCAATTTTCACCAGTCCTCTTTCGCACACTGCACACTTAACACCACGATGACAACACGAAGAACCGTCCGTTTCACCGACCCAGAAGAAGGTCTTCAAAAAATCCAACCCAGCGACACTTTCTCGTGCTTCTTCGTCCACAAATACGTAAAAGAGTTAATCTCGACGGACTTTTCCAACATTCAGAAACTTCTGCAACACGAACTTTCCGTCAACAAAAACTACGCGCAAAGATGGCAAG